CTAAAGGCGTGATTAGAGGTGGCTTCAGCCAGGACACGCAGGGGCGTGGTTCCCATACATATGTTGTACCGAGTGAATTGACTGAAAGGGAACTAAAATTCTACGACCACAGCTGGGACCAGAGACACACAGGAACACAAAAGAGAGCAGGAGGCCTCCAAACAAGAGGGAAACAAGCTATCCCACATCTGACAGTTAAAACGTCATGTTAACTAAAGCTAACAAAACAAATACCTCAAAAAAGGTTTTAAAAAAATAACTATCCTGAAGGAGTGCATATCGCCAACCATCAGCTGCATTAGGGATGACCCTCAGCTACTACCACACCAAATTACAAACAAAAACATAACAGCCCACCTTTCCCCACCCACAGATCAACCTAGAATATTGTATTTTAGAGTTTGAATAAATACGATGCAGTTAAAAACAACAACTTTTAACCAAATTCAAACATTTGTAACAGACCTTACCTGTGTCTGTGTCCTCAGTGGCTGGTCTGGACCGAGCCTGAGGGACCTGAACCAGCAACAGCAGGATGCAAGGCAGCAGCAGGAAGCAGCGTGGGAAACTCATTGTTTCCTGACGCGTTGACGACTGTCACTTTGAGACTGCAGAGACAACGACACAGATTCATTAAGATAAGTTGCTCATAAACCCCCAGTTTTGTTTTTTTTATGCGCACGATGTTCCAAAGCAGAAAATGAGTTGCAACATTGTGGACTACATTCAAGGCAGCCAATGACTTCCTTTCGTTTTACGAAAGTATGATAACGAAGTCACAGACATCACCTGTGTCGGTATGTAGCACACACACTCAGTGTCACTGAAAACTTGGATCCATTCTGAAAACGGCACCTCTCACTGCTACTTCTGCTCATGTTTCTCTTAAGCACAGACCTCACCTGCGACACCTGGAGGTTAGCATCTCTCAGCTCAACTGTGACACCTGAACACAAGTGAGGTGTGAAACGCGACTCCGCAACGGCCTAAAACAAGCACTCACCATTTGTCTTCATGAAGATGTGAAATACTTCCCCCACATTTTTGATGCATGGGAGCTGAAGACAGAAGCAAACAGCCTGACTGAGCCTGATTCACCTCCACAACAAGGCTTTCTGGCTTATAATAAAACTTGAGACTTAATTTGGAGATCTTTGTATCACTTTTCCCAGAATATGTTCAAAAATATATGTATTGTTTTCCGAATAAAAATACCACTGTGAGCAGCTTAACTTTTGAGTTGTGAAAAAATAAATCAAATCTAGTGTTACACGGCCTGGTATAGGAAAGACCCTGGGATTGTATGTTTGTCTAAAAGACTTTTTTACAGTAGCTTACAATTTGTGCAACAAACGCTTCAGTCTTTCTGCAAATGTCTATTTTTGACTCATAATTTGATGCTACTATGAATACTAGATTCGGGTAACATGCTGAGCTCATGTTTTCACTTCAGTATGAAGCTTGTTGATCACTTTATCTGAATCAAAATGGATGTCTGGGGGGAAAAAACAATGTTTTTCACCCCTGTGTTAGAGTTTCAGTTTGCTGTCCTCCACTGTGAACTCTACTGCATGCATTACAAGCATTTTTCATAGTTGTCTAGCTAAATTATGTTTATTTGTGTTGTATAATGCTATTATTGTTCCACATTTAATTTACTGTATTGAAGTATGGGGTAAAGCTTGTAAAACTATCACAAATCCAATTTTTATTTTACAGAAAAGAGCTATAAGAATTATTACTAGAAAAAATTACAGCCATCCATCGAATATATTGTTTCATGATTTGAAATTATTAAAATTTTATGCTTTAGTTGATTATAATATTTTACTGTTAATGTAC